TAGGTTTACCTGAAAATACGAGTTACCACATCCTTGATTCGTTTAACTTCTAATACTTGTTAATCACCCTTATACACCCTTGTATCACTTAAGACCAATAGGATTAACTTCTTATCATCTCAAAGGTAATTCTTTCTTGAATTTATGTTAACTAATATATGGTATGAACTAACGCGTGTGGATATGGGTTGTAATAGATAAGGAAGATGATAAGAGGAAGAACAACAAGACTAAACATTCAAGGGGAAGTAGTACTTACGATTCGTGTTCCAGTTCTCAGAAAATGGCATGCTTTTGGCATGGAATAGGTGCGAAGTCTTTATTCAAACAAATCGGTCCATCCAACCTTAGTCCCGAGCCTCGTCTATACTCGAGAACGGGGCCTTTCTGGCCCGACGAGCAAGCTTGATCAGTCCTCCTCGATAGAATTGGGGACTGTAAAAGCACATAAGGTGATCGAGGGTAAAGGGACATCCCTCAATTTTGCTTACGATGAATCGGAGGAGAATCACTATCCTCCAGAAGGAAGGATGGATCTGGCCAAGGGTCATGTCGTACCTCTTGCAGAAGGCATAAGGGACCCAACGTGAATGGGTACGTGTAAACACTTAGAAAGCCCTTTACGTGGGTAGTGATCGATTCCTCGGGCAAAGGTACCACCACATGCTTATCGACCCAGTTGCAATCGTCTTTAACCTTGGTAAGGAAATCATCAGTTATTGTGCATACGTACCTCGAGACCGATTCACATCGACCTGGTACCGAGGAGGTCTTTTTAGTTTTAAAATTAGCAATAGTAGGGCACCCTACCAGAACGAAATCCTGAAGGGGATATTCCATCGCAGCTCCGTCGCCGGTGGGCTTTGATGAAGAGGCGACCTCCTTTTGCGGTACAATCTTAGAGTATACGCCAAATTTTACCTCCACCTTGTGAAGTTAGAAAATCTGTTTCCGATAGACTCCCGACTCAAGGTAAAAGTGAAAAAGAAGTAGAAGTAACAACAACAAAATAATATGGTAAGGTGATCGGGTGATAGAATATTCGAATAGTAAAAGAAATCTACGAATCAGAAGATACCAAAATAGAAGACAAATACTAATGCTAACGGCATGTAAAGGAACGACCGACGTCTATCTACTAACATTCTATCTTAATTCCCAACCTCCATACCCTCCTATCCTATCAAGTGTCTCTTTTAAGTAAATTTAAAATATAATTGACTTCCAAATTTTCTTCTACAATTTGACTTTCATGTCTCCTTCCACATATCTTGGAACATTCTCAGATACTTCTGTGTTGCTTCCTGGATTTCTCCAAACCTAACATATCGATTAAATTCATCAACCCTACACGCCAAACTCACCATACAATTAATCTTCCTAGTTTCTTTACGCGGAATTTTGCCGTTTTCTAGTTTCAACAACGTACATAAATTTAGGTTTGTGTTTTGGTTTCTTCAATTCGCAGCGCGTCGTTGAATTCTCTTCTTCTTCTTTTTAGGCTTATAGTTGAATTTATACTTCCTTTTTCACGTTTATATTCCTGGTGAAACATTCCTATCCTGATAAGGTGATATCACAATAAACACTAGAGGTTATAATATTGTGCAAATAGAGTAAAAAATACTTTTTTTGTGTTGATCCCTTTACACATGGTGATCTTCTAGCGTAGCGGTAAACGCAAAGGTAATTAAAATTTTGTTTTAGGTCATAGGTTTAACTTTGAGTGAGTCATTTTTGCATTTTCTTGAATTCCCTCGTTGGATTCTTTGGCTCCAGGGTACATTAATTTTTTCTTGTGCTCATGTTTCAGGATCAATAAAAACACTTTTCTCTATTTCCTTTAGTCATTCTCTCGTTTGATTATAATTAAGGATGGAAGTATACCAGAAGCAGTACAGACGACTATTTGACCGCCTAGATGAAAACGGAGATGGGAAAATATCAGCATCAGAGTTGCAACAATGTGTACATTTGATCGGCAAAGATATGTCATTTGACGAAGCAAAGGCTGCAGTTGCAGCCCATGACTCGGACGATGATGGCTTAATGGATTTCGATGATTTTGTGAGATTAGTGGATGATGGGACCGAAGAAGAGAAGGCGCGCGAGTTGAAGGAGGCATTTCGGATGTATGAAATGGAGGGATGTGGATGCATTACTCCGGAGAGTTTACAGAGAATGCTTGATAAATTAGGGGAGTCCAGAACTATTGATGAGTGCAGAGGAATGATTTCGAGATATGATATCAATGGCGATGGTTTACTGAATTTTGATGAGTTTGTGATCATGATGAGTAGCTAGACATGAGTTTTTTTTTAAAAAAAAAAAAATTAATCTGCCTTGTGGTGACGGGGGTTTTGGCTAGACACTAGTTATATGTCAAGTTGTACGCTTCCTTAACAAATTATATTGGAAAATGAAGGCACAATCTTTCTGCATATTTGATTTATCACTCGTTCATCGTGCATCAGATATCTAGATATACATGCAATCTCGATATTTAATTTCTAGATTGGCTATTCACTGAGGCATGCAAGGCATTTCTTTTTTCAATTACGATTTCAAACTATAGAGTTTGTGTTATAAAACAATAAAAGAAGTAAAAGAGCATTGCGGAGAAAAGGAGAGAGAGAATTCTTATTGATTTGGGATCATTTACAATGGAATAGAACCTCTTCATTTATAGGAAAAAAATGACTTAGCCACCAAGTAACAAACCCTAAGATCTTTCTAAAATATAGACGTTCGCCTTAAATAGAATTCTATTTATAACACTCCCCCATGAATATCTATTCAACAGATAATGTGCCTCATTAAAACCTTAACTAAAATAAAACCCAATGGGAAAAAAATTCTAGAGAAAGAAAAAGAGTACACATATCTAACAATACGCCTTTTGGTCGTTGTTTAACCAAAAAATAGAATTTTAGTCAAAGCTAGAATTTAGAAGAACACGGGTTACTGATAATCGAAAGAATATGTAAAAGAGAGTAATTTAAGTAGCAAGAATATAATCAGGAGAAAAACAAGTAAACCAAAGTATATTCTAATAGTGTTTCGTGTCCGTACAATTGATCAGATATCTCCCTTTTATAGATATCTTGGAGATATATGTTTTGCCCAAATCATAATGAGGCTATTATGAGTAATTAAAGACATTGAATGCTACGTTACATAATCATTACATTCAATACAAATTCTCTAATGTATTCCACATTTAATGCCTATTAAATGCCGTATCTGCACTCTTTTCTATTGTCAGATTCATTCCTTTTAATTCTCGAACATAAATGACTTAGATAGGTATGGGCGCTGAGTTATTTGAATAACTGTCTGTGCCTCTTCCTCTGCCATTTGCTCGTATCTGTTGCAACTCGTACCTCTTGGCTAGTTGTAATTCTTTGACCATTTGACCCGTCTACATGTCTCGACACGTCGCCTTTGTATTTAAATATAATTTTTCCAAATACAGATAGTCCCCCCACTTTCCATTTATTCATCAGTTGAATATTTAGGAAGTGAATTTCATTAAAAGAGAATTTTTGTCACCACTAATGCTACGACAAAATTGACGCTTCAATTGTCGCTTCCATTTAATGCTCCATACACGTGTCATTTTTCCATTGGTTCTGCAGTTTTGCAGCCCTTTTCAAGTCTTTTTTACAGCTTCACTATTCACGAAGTGCTAGTTATCATTATTATGGTCCTTCCATCATTGCACTTTTACCTTTGGCGGTTGCTTATAATATAAATATAACTTCTTTCCTTGTCTTTTACCACATAAAAGCTTATTGAACACTTAATTCCTCAAATCTCAGTTCACTTCTTCCTCACATTATTCTTCTTCGTCATGTCTTCACCAAACCCTAACCCTAGGAGAGTTCCCATTGTTGATACCTTCCCCAATGCCCCCATTAGGCATAGAAGGTGAGGTAGGCTTCGTAGCTTAGGGTCTACTCGTGGTGGTGGTTCGTCTATACCTTCTCCTAGTTCTGGTCCTTCTTCTAGAACCAGAGGTTCCCTTTCTCATAAATCTTCTTCTAGGGGTAAAGAACCTTCTGAACCATTACGTGAGCCTTTAGTAGAGGAGATAGTTCCTACAAAACTATCTTTTTACCATGATAGGGAATCTCTTAGAAACCAGGTTTTCGCTTTAGATCGTGTTGATGCTTACCCCACTCAAATTACAGAAGTTTTGACTCTTGTAGTTCGTAAAGACTGCCATTGGAGTAATGATTTTTCCATTATAATCCATAATCCAAATCAGAGAATTACTTCTTACTTGACTGGGTTCTCTTTTGTTTATACATACCCTTTCACTTTAGGGTTCAAACCAGCTATTGACCCGGTCATTCTTGAATTTTGTCGTTTCTTTAATGTCAGTTTGGGTCAAATTGGCCCAATCATATGGAGGGTTGTTGCCTGTTTGAGGCATTTAACCAATATAGCTGATGTTTCCTTTACTTTCCCTCACCTGATTCATCTTTACTCTCCTAGGCTTTTCCGTAATGGCATTTTTACCCTAGTGGCCAGGAGTAAGAGGGTTTTGGTGAGCCCTAAAGATGACAAGGACCGTGGCTGGTATACCCAGTTTGTTGTTGCCCCCACTGTTGGCTTAGTGGGTGAGGATAACGTTCCCTTCCCTGAGAAGTGGAATTTTGCACGTAAGTCTTTTATCCTTCTCGTGCCTTTTTTCTTCAAGTTTATCAACTTCTCTAATTTTGCCCTTTTTTTTAGCAACCATGGGAGTTGTGAAAGATATTCCCAATTTTCTTGGTTGGGTAGATAAATTGCTGAAGACCTCACCAATAGATGGTAGGTTTTGGAGAACACTTTCTAACCGTTACGGTTGGAAAGTAAAGACTCATGGTAAGAGATTTTATTTCATCTTTCACGCATATATATTTCTTTATTGCTCTAACTCACATCCTTCTTTTTATCAGGATTTGCTATTCGAGGAGTTACTGCTAAAGTAGTTGCGGCCTCTCGTGTCTCTTTGGGAACCCGTACTCCTTCGGGGACCTGTATCTTTTTAGAAAGAGCCCGAGAAATAGTCGTGGGTTCTTCTTCTGCGAAAAGGAAATTTGTTGAAGAGGAAGACTCTGAAGAAGAGTAAGATGGGGGCTCCCTGGTGACGAGGCCACGAGCTAGGAGACGCATCGTCTCTGATGATGAAGCTGAAGTTTCCCCTCGTCTTTCTGTTTCTCTTACCGAACCTATTGAAACCCCAGTAATAATTCCCGACGATGACATCACTCCTCATGATACCCGTGAGTCTATTGATCAACTTTTCATCATTGGTTTTGGTAGTGGAAGTTTAGGGCCTATTTTAGATGAAATACCCTTATCTTCTTTTTTCAACTCCTGTTCCTGTGATTCCTTCCTTACCAGCCCCAGCTATTTCTGTTCCTTCTTCTACTGTTTTTACTTCTTCTACCGCTCCTCCTTTGACAATTCCCCCTCCTATCGTTCATCATACGGAAGTGGGTTCTTCAAGTAGAAGTACCGCTATGAGGAGGGTAACTATTGAAGTTCCTGCTGATAACAGCCTTTTGAGGAAGTCAGGTCAGGCAGATGTATGGCTGGAGCCTTTAATTGGCCCAATTGAAAAAGCAAAGATGGAGAGTCATAGTTCCCTGACTCTAAAGAATGATATCGTGCATGCCACTTTGAAGGTATTTTCCTTCTCTCCCTTCTTTACTTTGTAAAAAAAATTTATCTTTGGGATTCTTATTTCCCTTCTTTTTTTAGGCCAATCTTATCGGCACAGAAATGATGAACAGAATCTCAATCTTAGAGAAGGTAGAACATGATTCAGAGAAGATAGCATGTGATTCTCAGTTGGAGGTGATCAGTTGGAAGTAACAATTTGAGAGTGCACAAATTGATATGGAAGATTTACAAGAGAGCAAGAGTACCTTAGAGCAGCAGGTTCAAGCTTTAACTTCAGAATTAGCGGTTGTAAAAGCTTCCTCAAGCCAAGCAAAAAAAGAAAAAGAACATCTCGAATCCTCCTTCTCAGAGCAACTATCTAAGGCCAGTGAAGAGAACAGAGAGTTGAAGGCTCTTTTGAGTCATAAAGAAGTTTACGCTGGGGAGCTCGTGTAAAATTTAACTCAAGCACAAGAAGACCTTCGAGTCTCTGTTGATAAGGTGTGTGCTTTAGAGAGCTCTCATGCCTCTCTTTAATCTTCTTATAACTCCGCCTTGGCTGAAAATGAAGAGCTAAAGAATGAGATTGCTAATTGGGAAAAGGATTATGAGATCCTTGAAGAAAAATCTATTGTTGAGGTAAGTTGGGCATTTTTGAATTCATGTCGTGATACCCTAATTGAAGCTGGCCAAAAAAACTTCAACTTGGAGTCGGAGTTAGCTATGATCAATGAAACCATTGAAAAAGCTCAGCAAACTCAGGACTTCCCTTCTCCTTTGGTTGAAGCTCTCGTGAATGTTGAAGCTGATACGGGTATCCCAACTCTTTCAAGCCCAATCGAGCCTATTGCTGCAAGCCAAGTTGAAACCGCATCTGTTGATGCACCTACCTAAATTGAGTCTGCTGCTATTGATGCTCCTGCTTCAGTTCCACAAACTTCTCAATGACCAGTTTTAATCATTTGAATGATTTTGTTTTTGTTTTTA